TCTTAGCATAAACAGTTTGTGGAGGGTGCCTTTGGCATAGTCTCCAGCCAGTTTTGCATCTTTCATTATGCCATGGATGTATAAGCAGCGGTAGTGGAGTTGTGTTGAAGGCCTTGTGAGTTTTTCCTAATTTTATGTTGTGAGACTTGCTGGAGCCCATGTCCAGGTCACTCAATATAGAAGGAGCTGTTGATGAACCTGTTAAGTAGCTTGAGATCAATGACTCCACAGAGACTTTCATCATTTGCAGCTGGTACAGCCTCCTGAAGTCCTGAGGTTTTATGAGGCATCACGAAATTCTGTTCAAACTCTGTTGGTTCAATGAGTCAAAATTATGGATCTCCTAAACTGTTACTTTATTCAAGCTAATGCTAATAGCATGGGCTGAAAAAACTTACGTTTTGGACTTGGTTGGCAGAGATTTCAAAACAGAGTTGTAGATGGAAGACAAGTCGTGTCTTAGTCCACCACCCCATACCAGTGATGTTCTCTGGAGAGGATCTGGACTTCACTGCCCTCGAAAGAATGTCCTTTGTCCTTCAGGTGGAGGTGGACTGCTGACTCTGGTCCACTGGGGTTGGCCCTCCTCTGCTGGGCCATGCGTTTGTGTAGCGGCTGCTTAGTTTACAAGTACAAGTCCCACAAGACTTGTATATTGGTGAAACCGGTTTAGTTAGTCAGTCAAATGTGGGCCTATTACTCAAGCTATTAAACCACAAATGAAAGCAAGTTTGCTTTACAAAAAAAGCCTGTGACAAACCAAGTTGACGGTCTGCCATTGGCCAATCTCAGGTTTCAATGAGGATCTGTCACCTTGGTTTTTGCAGTGTGTCCCATACCATTGGCACCAATCGGAATGTTGGCAGATTTTTAGCCAACTCAACTTCTTGAATTAGCGGTGGACCCCATCGGTGAGAGAAACCACTGTGACTGGCTGTTCAGGTTGAATCATTGCATCAGAAAAGGAAGGTTTAGGAATTCCCCTTGAGCTTGTCACTATATTGTCCAAGTTTGCACCCCTTTAGTGGAGTTTGTTTTCACTTCTGTGACCTTTTTTCTTCTCCCCAAACCAAAAAAAAAAAAAAGGGCAGAGAACAGCAGTGCCATTTGCAACTTATTATCAGACATATTCTCAATTAGAAGTCACTATAAACCATGTTATAGTTTGGATGTCTGCAGTTCTAGGTCTTATCTTTCCCTTTTTGAATGATGACTATAGATACTGCCACCTGCTGGTATGGAGAGGTATTCATCTCACACAGGTTCATCTGTGGCCATTTTACTGGCCATTGACTAACACTAAATCTAACCAAAGTTAGCATGAGTGTCATGTCTTTAATTTCATGAACGTCTCCCTCCAACTACATTATACAATTACTCTGAAATGCTATTTTGATAGCCCCCCAAAATCCTCGTTAGGATAAGCAGTATAGATGAACAGGTACATGTAAGAAACAATTTTGAGGGGAAAGAAATTTCCATACCATGAGGGAATGTTGCTGCTGAAAGACACACAAATCCCAGCTCTTCTCCCTCATGCTCTTTATGGAAAATTGTCCTATCACCTTCACATGAACTCAGCAGCTTATTGATGCAGAGAAAAAAGGAGATTCGCCCACATTTCCTGGGCCCTGCAGTCATGGGAGTCATCAGTTACTGTAAAAAAAACAAAACATTTCTGATGTTCTGCTACAGACACACACACAACTCAGCAAACATTTTCAAAAAGGATTAAAGGTTTGATCAGACAAATACTGAGGCCCAGACCCAGAGGGACCCTGGCTAACCTTTCTCTGAAGTTATATTCTTTCAAGTGAAATGTTTAAAATGATAGAGTACTCCAACCATATAAATATATAAATTAATTGATATTTACTTGTTAATTACTTGAATATATCCAAGAACCTTCTACGCATTTTGGTTCTAAATTAAGAATGTGTAGATGTAGTTCCTTCAGGTTATTTTCAGGTTTTTAGGGAAAAAAAAAACACAGGAAGTTAGGCATTAGGTACTGGAAAATACTTTATAAACAGATGTTAGTATACATTTGAATTTGCTATAAACTGTCAGAAACGGCGCGCGTAATGCGGCCGAAAAGTGTTTGGTGAACTCATTAAATGGCCAGAGAAGGAAGTGATGAACAAAACCGTCTCTTTAATAAGAGAACTAAAACTAAACAAAACCATACAAGACAAGGTGAAACACAAAACTCACGGTCGGTATCAGTCCCAGGTCAGAGCCAGCAAACACATACATCCAGGGGAATCCAAAGTTCGTTGTCCAAAAGGAGACCGGAGAGGCCGCTCGGGAGGGCGGCCACGATGCCAGGCAGGAGTCCGGAGAGCTGTGACCTGCTTTATGTATATAGGCTTCACCTCTCCTACTTTTATATTTGTGTACCAGGGTCTCTTGGCAATGTATATAGTGGACAATGTATACAATATAATCTATGGTTAAACTTACAAACGTTTTACACTCAACCTATCAAAACCACTCTCTAAGATGCTGACTAAATTCTAATCCTACACTTTACGCAATTATCTGCCAATTCAGGTTATCTTCTGTGGCCATTTTACAGATCTCCTTGTCTCCAATTACTTCATCCTTTGGAGTAATGGGTTTGATGACAAACTGTCCTGTCATTCTCGTTATCATGCCCTTGAATAGTGGAACTAAAGACATCAGTAACACAACAAAAATTATGCCCAGTCTAATCAGATCAGCATTCCATGACCCTGTCAATAACTATTCCCATCATGAAGCCTCTTCTGCTTGTCCCTTGGCATTTCTCACATGCTTATCTCTTATGCAGGCACTCTAAGGCCAGTGCCTTACTTCGATTCTTAGCTGTGTGCATAGGAATAACAGTGAAACACTCATCCCCTATCCTTTCACAAACTCCCTGCTCCTCAACTGTGTTTAAAATAAACCAGTTCTGCATTACCATTATAAATGTAGTGTGTAATTGAATCTTAACTGCATTCAATGCCTGCACTGTGTAATTGATAAATCTTTGTTGATTGTACCATAAATAATCTATCCAGTGGGTGTTTTTTACTGTCTGCGCCATGGAAAGAATGCTACCATATTCTCTATCCCTACATTGCTCTTAGGACTGTGTTTCTCTGGTGCTCCTTTGGAACACCTGCCCAATTAATCCATAGCTGCTTGTCTTCTTCCCATTCACCTTCTGCTTCCCCCATATGCCTAGACTCTTTTTCAGGGAAGTTAATCACTGTCAGTGGTCCTGTCAGCAAAATAGGTGCGCATATGCTTCTCCATCCTCAGCCTCATGTGACTCTAACTTTTCAGTACTTTCTCCACAATACCAAAAAATATCAGCTACTGCAGCCTCTAGTATAATCTGGAATCTTATGTTTTATAACTGTCCCACTGATAACCCTGCAGTCCTGCGTGTAGCCTCCGCTCCTTACTATATCCTCACACTGTATAGCTGTTGCTTTTGTAATGGCACACCTGGTGTTATTGTACTGGTCAATATATTGACACCTAATTGGGGCTTTTGACCTCATTCATCCATTAGGGCCTTCTTTTAAAAAGTCATCTAAAATGTCTTAACGTTTCCCTCTTATAATGCACAATGGGAACTTAAGATGTTTTGATATTTTTATCACTGAGGGAGTTACTATGCTTTCTTCATCAGTCTGCAAACACCTTTTGACACTGCACACTGTTTTAACACCTGCTTTTGATCTAATTTAAACAAAAAATACAGTACACACTGTAAATAACAAGGCTTTCTAGGCCCCACTATTAGCTGTTCCTCAATTACATTTGCTCTTATACAGCCTCCACCACACTCTTCTTACCTGAATGGTAACGGTAGTGCTTGGGGATCCTCCTCCTGTTGTAGTACACTAAACAAGGTTGCTGGCTCACTTGCTCAGCTCACCCATTTGTAAAATAAGCTAGCTTGGCTACTGGCTTCACACTGTTTTCTTTTTATTACCCACTGGTTGCTCAGTTGTTCTCTCAAACAATTGTCCTGTGTCACCTCCAACTCTCTTTTTATTCTGTATTGTGCCTGCTCTGGCTCAATGCTCACTAACTTCTTGGCCCTGTGCAAACTCCTAAACCTCTCTGTTTTCAGGTTGACACAATGATCCTTGAGGTACTTCACTTTTATGGTCACTTATCCCATGCTATCACATCTCTTATGTACAAAACATCCCTGTATAATGGCCCCACTTAATGTCCCCATGGTGAAATGGCTCAGATGTGTGGATCTGTGATAGGCTAGGATTATACTTCGCCCCAGTTGAAGCTTCCCATCTGATACAGCCAAAGCACAGGCTTCCATCTGCTTGCCTCCCTGCTGCTGCTCCTATCTGGCAGTGGAAGTTATCCAGCTCTCCAGCTGCTCTCTTTGGATCAGTAGACTAAGTCCCACTAGAAGTATCCCCATCTTCACTAATAGGTTCTGTGATCCTTCCACCCACTTTTTTCCTCTTTCTATCTGCTCTGGGTGGAGAGACTTTCACCTGGGTTTGTGTCTGCATCCTCCTCACCTGATATTTGCTGATCTTCCCTCGTCTTGTGTCAAATCCTCCTCCTTGTGTCACCTTGGTCCTGCAGGTTGGTTCTGACCTCCTGCGGTGTTTGTCCTGGTTCTAGGTATGGACGTATCGATACTTCGATACCTACCAGTTGATATTTCGGTGTTGATACTTTTAAAATATTGCAATACCACTGTGCTAAGGTGTGCCGACAACAGTGTCCCCGCCAGGGCCCGGAGCAATCAGTGTGCCGACGGAGAACCACCAGCCAGGTCCTTTGCTGCAGTTCCTGCTGCTGAACGGGTCGGCCAGCGTGGCGACACCGCCTTCAAGCCGGTTCCTTGTCCTGCACCTGAGCGGGTCGGCCGGTGCGCCGACGCCGCCTTCAAGCCTGTTCTTGATCCTGTCCCTGAGCGGGTCGGCCGGTGTGCCGGCCTCGCGCATATTGATAGCAGTGCAGAATGGACAGACAAAAGCATGTAAAACACCAGGACCCTGCTCACATACTATTTTACCTTCCCACCCCAGCATTACCCTGGAGTACAACCTGCGGATCTGGACGAGGTGCTGAAGAAGGGAATTGACTTACTGGTCATCGGCAGAGGCATGAGTGAAGCGCTGCAGGTAAAACAGATTTACAAAGAGCGCAGTGCATTCAGGGTTCAAATAAATACCAGTCCTCACTTAATGAATTCAACCTCAATATATTAAGAAGGCTTATCAGTCAGACAGTGTGGGCAATCTTTGTTTATGCACCTTTAAATAACCTTTGACATGAAAGTCAAGACTGAGTCAAAACAGGACCAGGGTGGAGTAGCTGGAGGGAGGATTATGGAGTGTAGGTCTGCTGCCCACTAAACAAGCACTGAGCCGTTACAGCGCCCGTGCAGACAGACTGTTTAGAATAGGAGCGTTTTCCATCTTCCATCAGACACAGCTGAGAGACTGAAACGTCTCCTATGCTGATGTGGTCCAAGTCCATTTGTGCTGTTGTCTGTTTTCTCAGGTTCCTTCTTCCACTCTGGACTTTGTGAAGCAGAGAGGCATCGACGTCAAAGTCTTGCAGACGGAGAAGGCCGTTGCCGAGTACAACAAATTGGCTAACCAGGGTGCCAAGGGGGGGGGGGGCTTCCACTCCACCTGCTGATGTCCCCCTTGCCTTGCTGCATCAACTGAGATGACCATCACAAGATGGGGACAGCCTGCAGTGCACCACTGCCCACAACCTGTTTCACCAGTATAGCTGGCACCTTCTAGCTCTCAGCATTTCTCAGCATGACTACAGCCTATTGACTTAGGGTAAGACATCTTGATTACAGCATTACTCTACTCTACAAGCGCTTATTTTAGCCCAGGTTGTGCCAGCTGCTCTGTAGAAGAGCACTAAGCAACTTTAGAGACCCAATATCAGTGAACATATGGAGGAAAGCACTTCAGGAGGCTTGGTATAATGACTCCAGGTATTTTTAGACAAAATGTGTCAAATGTAAATGTAACTGTCTAAACAGAAGAATCCATTTTGTCACTGATAGTCACAGAGGTGTCATGATTCGGTTCCACTGCTTCCTGTCTGGCTTTTATTTTGACACTATTTCCTGTTTTGTTTCACCTTAGTTCTGGTCTTTTCTTTACGTTCATCACTCACATTAGTTTCACCTGCTTCGTTATTATGTGCACCTGTTTTCATCTCTATTTAGGCAGCGTCCTCCCATGAGGACGCTGCCAGATTGTTCTAGACCCCAGCTCAGACTTTCCAGCGTTATATTCGGTTTTTGGTATTTTGTGTTTCTGACTCGGACTGTTTTGTGGATTACCCTGTTCTGCCTTGCCCTCTTATCTCGGACTGCTCATGTGTATCGGCTTATCGGACTTTCCTTACGGACTACGCACTTTGGATTTCCTTGGATGTACGTGTTTGCTGGCTCTGACCTGGGACCGATACTGACCGTGAGTTTTTGTGTCCACCGTGTCTTGTATGGTTTTGTTGTTTCGTTTTAGTTCTCTTAATAAAGAGACGGTTTTGTTTAACACTTCCTCGTCTGGCCATTTAATTGAGTTCACCAAAACACTTTTCGGCCGCATTACGCGCGCCGTTTTCTGACAGTCCTGGTCTCTTCAACGGTCACAGCTCTACCCTGTTTTTGTACTGTCCAAACCTGGTCGTGTACATATATTGACTCTGTTACTTTGTTTGTTTTGCTACCATTAAACCATCTTTTTTTCACTAGCACCTGGTTCCTACCTCAGTTCTCCCTCACCATCCTGGTGAGGGGGACTCAACCATAACAATATGCAATGAGCTACATGGATCTTGGATGAAGCCATGTTCCCTGCTCTTTCATTTAGTTGCCAAACGTAAAGGTTCATATGCTAGTACTATATGTATCAGAAAATATTGACAATTTTGTTTCTAGAATGTTATTAATGGAAGTAAAAATTCTGTATATATCAGGCTATAAATGATACATTTTTAAAATATCTTCGATTAGAACAAAATATCTAAATAGACTGATAAATAAACAGCATTTTTACATTTTATTGCATGATTATTAAATTGTTATAACATTTTGATTTCCCTTTTTTGTCATTTGCTAACTTTAATTCCTTTCAGATGATTCCCAAAAAGCCAGAGACATAAAGAGCCTTGTCAAGATGCTTGTTACTGACTTGCAACCTGTTTCAACTGTAGAGGATGCCGGTTTTCATCACTTAATGAAGGTGTGGGATCCCAGATATCACATCCCTGGTAGGAAAGCCTTGATGGGTGAAATTCCCAAGTTGTATGAACAAGTCAAAACAGCCCTGAAAGATTCCATGGACTCTGCCAACAGTATGGTTTTAACTACTGATATGTGGACATCAAGAACATAGGAAGCATATTTGGCTGTGTCAGGACATATCATTGATCAAAACTGGCAGATACAGGCTTGCAATCTAGGGACAACTCATGTAGTTGTACAGCACACAGCGGACAATATATCTGAATTCCTCACAAAGTTATCTGGTGACTGGCGTACTGCCAACAAAATCCATGCTGTTGTTACAGATAGTGGAGCCAATATGTCTCAGCTGTGAGGAAAAGCCACTGGAAACATATTCCGTGTTTTTCACACACCCTCAACTTGGTTGTTAAGGATGCCATTAAGGCTGACACAGTTCTGGACTCCATCCTGGAGAAATGTGATGCAATTGTTAAGTTTTTCCACCAGAGCAAAAAAGCCTCTGACAAGCTTAAAGAAATACAAAGTCAGCTGCAGTTGCCTGAACACAGACTAATCCAAGCAGTAGAGACAAGATGGAATTCGGTGTTGTATATGCTGGAGAGACTGTATGAACAACAGCAGGCAGTTGTAACAGTACTTTTGAAAAACATATTGTGCTTGATCAAGGAAGAATGGTCAGACAGCCGAGCCATTGAAGCCCTCAAGCCCTTTGGAGAGGCCACAAGGGAAGTTTCAGGTGAACAGTATGTAACTATTTCAAAAGTCATACCTCTGGTCTATTGTTAAAAGAATTTTCAAAGAAGCCACGAAGTCACTGGAATCTTTCAATAAGAAACTGGTTTACTTGCAGCAAGGAGACAAGTCAGCATAGGCATACAGAGTTGTCTGAATAAGCTACTCTAAACATCACAATATATAGGACAAAGGGAACTCCCTAAAAACGCATTCCAGGCGTTAATCAGGTTGTAAAAAAGATTTGCAGAGGGAAAGTGAACTTGAAAGGTTTTTGCCCTGATGACAAGACACACACTGCACAATCTGTTGTCTGTTTATCTCCACAGTGTATGGCTGGAACGGTTTATGGCTGGCTCCTTTAAGTCTGGGGTGCCATCTGGTTGAACATGTAACAACACACAAAGTACTAAAACAGAGATAGAACATGTCCTTCAGTTCACACAAGCAGTGTCTCACAGGTCCCTGTGATCTGTAGTCTGTTCTGAAAGGTTAAAATCCATTGAATAACATATGTTGGTTAATATATTGATTAGAACACAGCTTAAAACATACTTAATAATGTAATTTTCATGACATCTATCTTCTCCAAAAAGCCGCTACATCCGCTGGGCAGAAGGGGAACACCCTGGTGTCAGTGCTCACAATGCAGTGCAAGCAGCGCTTTCAGAGCATTGAGCACAACCATACTCATGCAGCCAGGACCTCTCTAGACACAAGGTTCAAAAACATTGCCTTTACTGATACTGGAAATGTTGAAATGATCAAATCAAGGCTCATCAGTGAGAAGCAAACACTGGGCAGTTGTGATGGACAGGCAACAGGCAGTGAACCCCCTGTTTCTCCAACAACCACCACTGCTTCTCTGGAAACTGCCTTGCCAGTGACATCACCTACCACAAACACTGAAGGCAACAGTGGGGACTGTTCTGCATCAAAGACAGGATTATGGGAGGAGTATGGTAGGCATGTGATGGCTTCTCAGGGAAATCAGAGTGCAAACACAAACACATACATTCATGGAGGAAAAGGTAATCTCAAGGAGTGAGGACCCTTTGCTGTAGTGGAAAAGTAACGAGGCAGTGTTTCCATTGCTCAGTAAAGTGGCAAAATATATCTTGGAACAGTTGCAACCTCAGTTCCAGCTGAGAGACTGTTTTCCAAGGCAGGAGAGACAATTAGTCAGCGGCGAAATTGGCTTAAACCTAAAAATGTGAACATGCTGCTTTTCCTAAACACCACTCTAAAACTTGAATGAATTGTTATGTTATCTAGCTGCTAAATGATTTAGTGTACCTTATCTAGTTGGTGAATATGCTGTTGTACATTATCTAGCAACTACGGGAAAAAAAAGACAATGATGATGATGATGATGATGCTAGTGTTGGTGATGATGTTGTTTTACTGTAAAATGTGATGTTTTACTGGTTTAATGCAGGTTTTTGAGCACTAGCTTTTTTCAATTTAAGAAATGTAATTAATTTTAATAATAATTATTATTTATTTATTTATATAGCACTCTACAACTCTAAGGAGCCCAGAGTGCTACACAGTAAAACAAATATACCAGGTGGAAACCATGCTAAAACAATCAAACCTAAACACATTAAAACACAGATTTCTAAAACTGAATTATAAAAGTATCATGCCAAAGTAGAAGTAACATAGCACAACAAGATAAAACAACGTTAACAGGGGATGTGAGAGCGGATTAAGCATAAAAAGCCTGCTTAAAGAAATGGGTTTTTAAAGCCGACTTGAAACTGGGTAACTCAGTCTTAGACTGTACCTATAGAGGAAGGGAATTCCAGAGGCTGGGGCCCTATACAGCAAAAGAACAGTCGCCCCATTTTTTATATCGAGCTCGCGGGACAACCAGGGACAACTGTTCTGGGCTCTACGCGGGGCGTACCTGCACAGAAGGTCCGACAGGTATGGCGGAGCAAGTTCCTGGATAGCCTTAAAAACAAATAAACACGTCTTAAATTCAACTCTGTATTGGATTGGGAGCCAGTGTAAGGAATGAAGAACCGGGGTAATATGAGCATACCTGGGGGAGTTTGATAAAAGCCAGGCTGCTGCATTTTGGATTAGCTGAAGTTTTCGGAGTCAGTGTGAAGCCTGAGAGCCACCTGCATAAAGGGCATTACTGTAGTCTAAACGTGAGGTAATAAAAGCGTGAGTGGCTTTCTCTAAATTGACAGGTGACAAAAAAGGTTTCACCTTCGTTAAAAGTCTTAGGTGAAAAAAGCTGGTCTTGACCACGGCTCTGATCTGCTTATCGAAGTTGAACCCACTGTCAAAAATTATTCCAAGGTTTTTCACCATATCTGCGAGTGGGAGGGCTGAGGCATCTAGGCTAGCTGCAACTGCCGCCAAATCAGGGCTGATGAGAAATATATTCAGTTTTGCTTTCATTTAAATGAAGAAAATTTTGAGCAAGCCATTGCTTGATGTCACTAATGCAGTTTTGCAACGGAGTAAGTGCATTTGCATCACACAGGAGCAGTGGCATATGGATCTGGATGTCATCTACATAAAAATGAAAAGTGAACCTTATAGCAAGATATAATTGACACGAGGTGCCATATATAAAGAAAAAAGTAATGGTGCCAGGATAGAACTTTGTGGAACGCCTGAGGTGAGAGGAGCTATGTTAGAGGAGAAATCATCAATGATGACAGAACAGGTCCTGTCAGCCAAAAAGGAAGCAAACCAGTTTAAAGACCGTGCCTCTCAACCCGACAAGATGTTCAATTTTCGAAAGTAAAATCGCATGGTCAACTGTATCAAAAGCCGCAGATAAATTTAAGAGAACTAGGGGGCTACCAGTCTGAGCAGCCTTGTCGGTACAATAACTTCAAAGTGAATAAGAAAATGGTCAGATATGGCTAGATTTGACACATAGAAACAGATAGGCCTTGAGAGATGACAAGGTCAAGTGTGCCCCCATGTTGATGAGTGGGGCATACTACTGACTGGTTAAGGTCAAAGGAGTCCAGCAGTGCATTAAACTCATTTGCTAGCTGGTCGGAAGAGGAATTGATGTGAATATTAAAATCTCCGCAAATCAGAAGACAGTCTGTGGAGTGAGAGCTGCCAAAAGTTCCCC